TCAACCCAACGGGCTGCTTTGAACAGGGAAAAGTCACATTTTCGGTAGCAGACAAACCTCGTCTGCTGCAAGAGTAAGCAAACAAAACAAATCTCTCAGTAGTGGAATTGCGGTAGATGTGTGGTGATATGAGCAGTCACAGGCAATGTACGGTATTTTGCAAAAAAAATAAAAAAAAATGAAAAAAAAATGCAATTATTTGTCATTACTTACAGGAGCCAAACAATGAAAAAACTAACAATGGAATTCACTATAAACTCCAGTTATTGTATAGTAATGGTAAGTTTTATTCAACCATGCTTCTTTGTTGTTATTGTTGTTGTTTTTGTGCATATCTTTGTATATGCTGGAAAGCCCACTACCTTCTTTCTGGGGCTCTTTCAGCAAAACAGATAAACGAAGATTATAAAGATTTCTGAGATTAAAATTACACGGCTCTCCTCGTGGCCTAGAGAATGGAAACAAAACCTAAAAAGATCAATAAGTCAATGGTACTTTACATGATTAACCGGCTGTCTGGAAGGAGAAAGTCACAACAGCCAAACACATGCAGGAAAACAAAACAAAGCAAAATAAATAAATAAATCAAAACCCACCCGGAATCAATATTGACTCCAGCACAACATCACCTTTAAGAGATTCCCTGCTCTACTTTGGCAAATGAATGTTAATTATTGTGGCTTCTGCCTCTAACACGCCAGATGTTACACACACCCAGGTTGGATGAGCCTGGAAGCTTGGTAGCAAATAGATAAGGGAAATGGCATTCGGAAATCCAAGCCATCAGTGTTGGTCTTCTATTCCTTTCCTTTTTTTTTTTTTTTTTTTTTGACTTTACAATAACCCAGGCGAGTGTAATGAAACAGGCACTCTCGTGTGTCTCTCGTTTCCTTGGGTTATGTGCTTTAGGCTGTCACAATTTGTGTTCTTTAATTCTTTTTATTTAAATTCACTCTCTGCCCCCCCCCCACCCCAACTTCTTAAGTATGCTTGAATACATGCCATATCTGTGTAACTTATCTTGCTCAACCCACGGTCCTTCTCATGCCAGATGCCCTCTGACTGGTTTTTCTTCCATTTTTGCAGGCGTTAGAACGGAACAGGATTTGTACGTTCGGCTAATAGATTCTATGACAAAACAGGTGAGAGAAGTTTAAGCTTTCTAAGAGTTGGCGAGTTGTTGAGTTCGGTCTTGTTTCTGAAGGGCTTTTCTGGGTAGACTATGAGCCTCTCTGATGTGTTACTTTAAAATTCTATACTGAGGATAAATATTTAGGACCTGAAAGCATACCTTAAACTTGCCCTAGAGTGGTCTTCTAGTTAGTTCCACGTGCTGGTGTTAGGAAAAAGGAGAAATGACCATAAAGGAAAATGTTAGAGAATTATATGGAGTTTATTTTTAAACCCTGCAGAAAAGCGCTCCAATGTTATCATAGTTTTATTTTAGAATAATTTGAAAGATTGCTTTTGTAACAAGGGTGATGACATGAAAAGCAGGCTTTAATCTTGTGGCACTAAAAATCAACGGTGTCTCCCTCCCCCCCTCCGTTCTTTTCTCTTTCTCTTCCCCCCCCTTTCTTTTAAAAGGGATGATTTAAACTCACCAGACATTTATTTGGGATGTAAAAGTTAAATGTGCGGAGGTGAAAAGTCATCTTGTTCTCCACTAGTGCGGATTCACCTCGCAGTCCCCCATCTCCATAATTCAAGCTCCATGCTCCAAAGGTCACCCACACCCGTCCCTTTTCTCTGAAATCAGCTCCTGTTTCTTCCTCAAACCTCTGCCACCCCTTGTAAATAACATAATTACAAGCTGATCCTTTTAAAATTATTTAACATGTTTTGGACAACTTTCTGAACTACAAACTTCTTTCAAAACAACTATTTTTTTTTTTAATATAAAGATGCCTGTTAGCTGCTGAATGAAGGGTTCAGTCTCTTGGCTTTATTTTGTTTTTCTAAGAGATGCATTCACTGGCTTTTCAGTCTGCTTCCTCTGTTTTGGACGAACAAACGAATTAAGAGAACTGTACCCTTCGTAAATAATACAATCTCAAGGGTAATCCCTTATAAAATGCCCGGTGCATTATTATTTTGTCTTTCTTTTTGAAAGAGCAGAAAGAGGGCTGTATTTTCTCTGTTATCAATTGCAAAAATAAAAATTGAAACATTAAGGACAAAAGACTGTTTTCCTTAATGATATATTTAAGAACCCATTTCTGTTAGTTTAAGCTTTCAAGCGCCCTTCCCTCGACTCTTGTTTTTGGAAGCAGAAAGTTTTCAGTGTTCTTGACAAAAATAGGGTTAGATTTAAACGCCCCCAGCAGTAAATGAGTGGTGTTTTTTTGCAGAAAACCCGGCTGACAGGCAAACGGCAGTCCCTTGACAAAGACGGAGGCGTTGCGCCCTCCAATAATTTTTTTCAGTAGATTACAAAGAAGCACCCTTTTAAACTCTGGAGCGCTCTCGAGTTGACAATGTCTTCTTATTTCCTTTGTACATACCAGCTAAATGTTTTCGGAAATCGCTGTAGGCTAATTAAGAGGCTGCTATGGGCAGCTCTGTAGGTTTCAGTGCTCTGGAATGAAGGGCAGAGAAAGAGAAAGAGGGAGAGAAACCAGACCATTTTAAAGCACGTTTTTATTAGCAATGGAAGCTGCGGACTTTTGCAGAAGTTCCAGTGCTGAAAATACAAGCTTTTAATCTCTCTTCGCTGACGGAGGAGAGGGGGGGGGAATAGCCCAGTAACTGATCAAAGAGTCAATGGCGCTGAACCGACAGTTTATGGATTCTCTTGGTGCTACAAAATAAAAAATAAATCACATCTAAATACGCGGATTCATCCCGGGCAAAGTAACTATCACCCGAAGTGGAATGGCCTGCTGCAACAAAAAACATTTGCAGACCCGACTGCTGGTTGTATCTGCGGGGTTTTTCGCTACCTCAAGCTTTCCAGACAAGCCCAGCTTTTTTCGGGGGATCTTTGGAAAACTAGGCCCACTGCTTGATTCCACGACGAAGAGTTTCGCGGGCTTTCTTTGGCAGGACCCCGCTTTCCCTGCATGACGAGCACCAAAGTGGCTTAACCTCTGTTAGATAAGGGAAAAACTTTTCTCGAAAGCTTGTGGCATCGAAAGAATGGAGATGGAGGTGCTTCCGTGTCCCCCCACCCTCCCGTCCTCTACTTATTCTGCACCGTACACAGCACCGATTGCAGCGAAGGCAACGGAGCTGGTAGGAATGGGAAGCCAGTGGCCTCACTAGGCACAGACTGCTGAGGCCCAGGCTGCGAGAAGAGAAAGCAAGAAAGCCGGGAGGGAGGGAGGGAGGGAGGGAGAGGGAAAGCAAAACAGGCGAAGCACCAGAAGAGAAAGAGAAGGAAGGAAGGAGAGGAGGGGAAAGAAAGAAAGAAAGAAAGAAAGAAAGAAAGAAAGAAAGAAAGAAAGAAAGAAAGAAAGAAAGAAAGAAAGAAAGAAAGAAAGAAAGAAAGAAAGTCCTGATTTGGGACCGCAGGGAGTCGTGTTGATGCACAGTCAGCCGTGGCCTTCGGAGGAAGAGCCGGGCAGAGATTGCAGGGCCGCTGCTGCTCCGCGTCCCTGGCTCAGTTGCCGGGAAGAGAAGCTGGCGCGCTCAGGAAACCCCTCGCGGGAGGCTGCCGGGCTCTCGCCTTCTCCGGGGGAAGCTGGGCTGGGGCGGGGGAGGGGCAGGAGCGGCTTTGGCGGCGGCTGGGAGGCGAAAAGCTTCTTTACCAACCGCGGTTTGCAGTGCCTGCTGCTCCCAGGTCGGTCAGGCTCCAGATCGGTTCCCCGAAGTCTGGAGAAGGGCGCTGGGGGGGGGGGAAGAGAGGGAGAGAGAGAGAGAGAGACGCACCTATAGCTCCGCACCATCTGTTAGAGCCTCTGCTCAAAACCCATTCAACCGTGTGCCCAGACACACTTGCCTTTTTTACCCAAGAAAAATCATTGTTAGCACTTTCAAAATAAACACCAGATTGCCCATTAGCACTTTTCTTCCCCAAATATCAGACCGATAATAGACATATTGTAGTGCACGCGGCTGGGATTCCTCAAGGCGGTTAGGCGCTTCTTTGATCCGGTGAAGGAGGAAGAAGGTAGAGTTCAACTACTTGAAAATAAACTGTAATCTGCTCTATGAGTGCTCTTCGAAAAGAAATGCCTGGTATACATATACAGGAATAAGGGCCGGAGCAGTAGCCATGCTTTTTCTTTTATAAAAGGCCTACTTCATTGCAATTTAGTCCTTCTGGGCCCATCCATTTGCATTAATCTTGGTTGGGGGGTAAAAGGTATCTAGGCATTACCAAAAAAATTACATGGTGTCTGATTTGTAGGTTGCTGAATCTAATTGAAATACTGTCCCTGTCCTTTAAAGTGATGCTATGCAACGTGGATACTGATCCTTGCATGAACAATAGCCATAAAATCCTTCTAATTAGGCAGTGACAATCTTTAAACTTAATAAATCGACAGGGCCTGTTTGTCAACCACTGAGAATGTTCTAAAGGTTTGGCTTCAAAGACTGCAAGAATTAATAATTTTGTGTAAGTGAAACACTGGGAACCATTGCTATCCAAAAGGCACTGTTGCTGAATCCAAAAGTCAAATCAAAGTTCTGTGCTTTAAGGGAAGAAATAATGTTTCTTTCTTGTGCTGCTTGTTAAATCCAAACCTCAGGAGGGTATAAAAAGTATTGTACTCTGATTCTAATTGGCATAACATGTTACCACAAAATTGTTTTTTTTTTTTTTGTATATTACATGCTTTTTATTTGCAAAGGTAGATTGGGGAAAAAAAATAAACCTACCTCAGCTTTTGGCTCTGTCAAAATGTGCATATTAGAGGAAAATCTGTCACAACTAAATAGTTCCCTACAGGGAATGCCTACCTTGGAAAAGATTTGATCTTAGAGATCTGAATCATATTATGCTCCAGTGGGTTGGGTTTTTTTCTTTTGAATGGGAGTTTTCTCTTAATCTGGAT